AAACCATTAAAATTTCTCCTGGCTTACACCTATAAACCCAGCACATGGGAGGCCAAGGCAGAATGATCACCTGAGGCCACGAGTTCAGGAATGACCTCAGGAGTTTTAAGACCACCCTGGGCAACATAGTGAGACCTTGACTCTACAAAAAAAGTTGTTTTGTTTTTTTTTTGAGTTGGAGTCTCACTCTGTCGCCCAGACTGGAGTGCAGTCAAACCCGCGGGCTCAGGCAATCCACTCACCTCAGCCTCCCAAAGCGCGGGATTACAGGCTGAGCCACCGAGCCCGGCTAAAAAAAGTTTTTTTATTTAGCCAGGTGTAGTGGCTAACACCTGTAGTATCAGCTACTCTGGTGGGAGGATGGTTTGAGCCCAGGAGGTTGAGACTGCAATGAGCCATGATTGTAGGGCAGCAGAGCAAGACCACCTTAAAAAATTCTCCTGGCCTTTTCTTGAACAATCATGAATGCTGCTTCAGCAATTATAGAGGGAAAAAACTAATGTCTCTGTGCTTCTTATTATATAATTTAGGAGCACTAAATTTGACTCTTGGGATTTTGGCCATCTGAGCTTTTAATTTTTATCTTGCACTCTCATTTTCCATCTTCACCTTTCTTCTTTGCTTATTTCTGGAAGACCTCAAAAGGTTGATTAGTAGATGGGGGGTGGCCTGGTGTAACAGAATTTTAGGTAATGGTTTCTCTGCCTCTGTGATCCCAAGTTACTCTATTTTTTTTCTAATACAATTTTTTCTGATAACAGAAAGTAAAATTATCGTTGTGTTTACTCTTTAGTAATGAGTCTGAGGGAGGTTTTTCTAGTAACTATGAATGACCCAGAGTTATTTCAGTTTGGATAATTTCTGTTGTCCTACTTTCAGGTTTCACAGATTTATCTGTCATCTCTATTCTGTTTTTAAGTCGATTCAGTGAGCTTTAAAAGTTCAGAAACTATATTTCTATTAAAATTTTTTTACTACTCTCTGTCTTATCTGCATTGGGAGCTGCTCTTTTGCCACAGCCTCTTACCCCCTGAAAATGTACACCTGCTTCAAGTTCGTCTCCACTCCCTCTTTGGTCAAGAGTACCTCTCAGCTGCTGAGAGGTACTCATTGCTGTGGTGCTGAAATGACCAGAGACACTGCCAGATGAGAGTTTCAGCAGCTTGGCGGTCTCATATCCCCTTACCTCACTTGTCCCTACCCACGGCTTCCAAACCAGCACCATTTCAAGGGACATCAACACAGCAACCAAGTTCACTGGGGCTAGGGCTGCCACAGTTGGGGTGGCTGGCTCTGGGGCTGGGATTGGGACTGTGTTTGGGAGCCTCATCATTGGTTATGCCAGGAATCTTTTTCTGAAGCAACAGCTCTTCTGTGCCATTCTGAGTTTTGCCTTCTTGGAGGCCCTGGAACTCTTTTGCCTGATGGTAGCCATTCTTATCCTCTTTGCCATGTGAAGGAGCTATCTCCACATCCCATCATTCTTTCTCCCGCATCTCCTCTGCCCTACTTGTTCTTTTTTCTGTAGCTCCCTAGGCAGCCCTGGTTGACTCAGGGTTTGACAGAGGGAAGATAAATAAATACTGTAGTAATAAGAGAACATATATATATATATATATATATATATATATGTATATATATACTTAATTTTGTTTCCCACACTTTGGGAGGCAGAGGCAAGAGGATTGTGTGAACCCAGGGGCTCAAGACCAGCCTCAGCAACTTGGCAAGACCTCATCTCTACAATAAATAAATAAAAAATTAGCCAGGAGTGGTGGCACTCACCTGTAGTTCCAGCTACTTGGAAAGCTGAGGCGGAAGAATTGCCTGAGCCCAGCAGGCTGAAGTTACTGTGGCCATGAACTTGCCACTGCATTTTATCCAGCCTGGGTGACAGAGCGAAACTCCGATGCTAAATAAATCTTTTTTTTCAATTTCTCTTTTGACATTTACTGATTTCCCCCCCCCTTCATTTTGAACATATTTTCTTTTAACTCACTGAGCTCAGTAATAATAGCTATGTTAATATCCTTGTCTGATAATTCCAACATCTAGGTCATTTTGGAATTGCCTTTTCTGATTGTCTTTTCCCTTGCAAATGGTTCTCATTTTTCTAGTTATGTAATTTGGAGTTGTAGTCTTTATACTGTGAACGTAATGTGGAGATTCTGGTTTCTGTTGACGCTTTTGATTTATCAGATGATTATCTCAGACTCAAACTGCAAAACTGTGTTGTATCTGCAGTGGGTTAATAGCAGTTCAAACCTCAATCCAGTTCTTTTCTTGTTAGCTGAGGAGAAACTGAGACGAGCTTGTATGGTTTAGAGGAAAGCCAGAGACTTGGGCAGAATTGCAAACAGAGCTTGGGACTCTCCTTCTGTGGCTCTTTTCTTTCTTCCCACTCTCTGTGGCTGTGGAGGGCTGTGTCTCTTGATTCATTTTTAAAATTGGAACTTTAGCTGGATCACACCCTCAGGACAGACCTCCAAAAATGGGGAGTTCATTTCATATCAGTCTCTGCTTCCAGTTTTCAACTCCTCTTCAAAAACTGTCATCCCTGTTCATTTCACATGGATGCTTTTTGTATTTTATTCAGAGTTTATAGTTGTCTGTGGGAGGGTCATCCTGGAAGCAGAATTGCCTACTAGCACTTTTATCCATTATCATAGTGTTTTGAGAATGAAAGGACTCAACCATTTCACTTTTACCTTGTTTTTTTATAATCTTGGGAAAGTCTCTTTACCTCTCTGGGACGCTCTTAATCCTCTGGAAAATGAAGTGGTTAGATGCTTCATGATCTGTATGAATTTTTAAATCTCTGCTTTTAGGCAGACAGACACATATACATACATGTACTACTGTCATTATCACCACCAACAGTAACAAGCACCAGGAGAGATGCTTAAGGGAGATGATGAGGGTGGATCTATCATGGTGGCAATTTTAAAGAACTGGAGGATATTTACAACTTTCCACTTGTTTCTGGGGGACAGAAAGGGCTAGTACACTGAGGATTCAAGAAGTAAATGTCATTTAGAAGCAAAGAAAAGAAATGACTTGCTACTTGCTTCTACCCATTAGAAACAGGAGAGAATGTAGACAGTTGAAAACAAATCAGGATCATCTGGAGTTCCTGTTTGTTTGACTTTGGAAAATGCATTTTATCCTGTTTTGAAGGAAAAAACCCCATGGGCCTTAGTAACAGGTCAGCAAATTTGGCAGTAGGTGGTGGGTGCTGGGACAGTAGCTTTCAGCAGAGGTGCTGCTGTCACTGTTAGAGCTACAGAGACCCTAGTGGAGATAGACCAGATTTATGTGGCCATTTCTGAGTTCAAAATTTTTATGTAGGAGAGGCTTTAAGCTATGCAGAAGAAGGTATGTGTTTATGTGGAAGGTGGGTGGAGAGAGGGAAAGAGACAGGTAGTATTGGGGCAGGACAGAAGGTAGGCTTGTCCTGAAGCTATTTGAATAGCAGTCACACTTATTTTACTTCCATTGATTCCTTTTTAAAAGTGATGGGAGGGGGAGCTAAAGCTTCCCCCGCACCCACTTAAGCCATTGTTTGAGTGCTACCTTTGCTATACATCCTTTTTAAAACTTTTTTTCTAGTTGTATTATTGTTTATTAATAATTCTTTTCAGATCTCATTGACTTGAAGCTTGGGTTACACCTATTGCCCTCATTTTTTGAGTTTTTAAAAAACTCTCATTGTATTTCCATCTCAATTAGAAGGAGAGAGGCAGGGATGGATTTTGTTCTGTGTGTGTGTACATTTTGGTGGAGGGGTGGAAATGGATGAAAGGAACCAACGGTCTTGGAAGGCGGTCACAGGGTGGTCTGTGGGGATGTGTAATGGAGGCAGTCATGATGAAAAGAGGGGGAGTTTGAATGTAAGATCATGTGCAAAAGTTTTAAGCTTACACTATCTTAGAAGCTACCTTTCCATTCTTCCTCAAGTCTAGAGTACATAGGAAGTTTGACTTAGATCTTCCATCTCAGTGATTCTTCTCTAATTTTAGAAGTAAGACTCAGTAGGTTGGGATGGTAGGCTTTTCAACTCTCCTGCAGAAGGCTGCTTATTACAAAATTGGAGGTAAAATTTGCAGACAGAGAAGCTCTGTTTTCAGTTCTAATTGATATTGGATGGTTCAGGCCAAGTTAGAAGGTAACAAAATGACATCATGGTGAAGGGGCTTTCCTAGTCAAACAGACTTGGGTTTAAACACTGTCATTTACTAGCAAACTGTAAGACCTTGATGAGTCACTTCTTGAAACAAATTCTTTGTCTGTAAGGTGGAGATAATATTATTGTGTTATTGTCTTACATAAAACGTAAAGCATAGTACTTGGGTATGGTAGATACTCCATAGATGTTTGTTTTTTCTTAACTGTCTTCCAAAACATGTTATTTTTAGTAGAATCCTGGCTTTATCCCTAAATAATTGCATGACTCACCCTTTCCAAGTTTCAGTTTCCTTCCTTAAAACAAGTTGAGTGTCTCTTGTCTGAAATGCTTGGAACAAAAGTGTTTAGGATTTCAGATTTGTTTTTTTGGGATTTTGGAATATTTACGTATATCTAATGAGATATCTTAGGATAGGACCCAAGCATTTATGTTTCATATATCACACATACACACACACACACAGCCTGAAGGTAATTTTATATTCCCCCAGAGGACACTGAATAATCTGAGTCTTGTGTGCTTGCATTTTTTTTTTTTAAATATGAGTCTCACTCTGTTGCCCAGGCTATATGGCAGTGGCACACTCACAGCCACCACAGCCTCAACCTGTTGGGCTCAGGCGATCCTTCCACCTCAGCCTTCCAAATAGCTGGAACTACAGGCATGTGCCACCATGCTCGGCTAATTTTTTGATTTATTGTAGAGATGAGGTCTCGCCAAGTTGCCCAGGCTGGTCTCAAACGTGGGCTCAGGCAATCCTCTCACCTCGGCTTCTCAAAGTGTTGGGATTATAGGTGTGAGCCACCGCACCTGGATTGTGTGCCTGCAATTTGACTGGGACCCATCACATGTGGTCAGGTATGGAATTTTCCATTTGTGTCATGTCAGTGCTCAAAAAGTCTTAGATTTTCAGATTAGGGATGGCTCAACTTGTAGTTGACTTCTGAGATGCTTCCTAGCTGTAAGATGTCATATACATTTTTAGACTGTTAGGGGATGTAGTAGGTCTTTAATTTTTTTTTTTTTGAGTTGGAGTCTCACTCTGTTGCCCAGGCTGGAGTGCAGTGGCGCACTCATGGCCACCCTGGTGCTGACCTGCTGGACTCCAGCATTCCTTCCGCCTCAGCCTTCCAAGTAGCTGGAACTACAGGCGTGTGCTACCAACCCAGCTAATTTTTTTATTTATTGTAGAAATGAGGTCTTGCCAAGTTGCCTGGGCTGGTCTCGAACCCGTGGGCTCAGGCAATCCACTTGCCTCAGCCTCTCAAAGTGCTGGGATTACAGGCTGAGCTACCAAGTCCAGCCAGGTCTTTTAATTTAAGCAAAGACAATATGTTTTACCCTGGGACTATATCATCTTATAGGAAAGAGGAAGAAGTTTCCTAAAGCCAAACTCCTTCTCATCTCCTCAGAGAGAGACATAACCAGCTTCCTTCAGAATCAAGATCTAGACTTACCTTGTCTCTTTTGACATGTACTGGGATAGGCCTTTGGGTCAGCTCAGTCTTGGTGTGATTCATGCTTTATCTGTCTTTACCTTTCTGTTTATGTTCTATTCAGGTCAAGAGGCAGCTGCCATTGAAAGATAGTGAGTGACTATTTCCAAGACAGCAAGCATAGGGAAAGTAGCCCGGAGTATTGGAAAGCTTAAGTTACCTAAATGGTAAGTACGTTGTACAGGGAAACCTGGGATACCAATAGAATTGGGGGGTTTCTGCAGTCTCTACAATTTTTCCATTATTGCAAGGAAGAGAGGAATTTAAATTTTTGTGAATGACCTATTAATGAACCAAATACTATGTTGAGTATTTCACGTCTTCTTCAACCAACCAACCTGATGAGGGTCAAATCCCTGCACGAAGTTAACAACCTTAAGAATGGTTGTAGGCTGAGCTTGGTGGCTCAGCCTATAATCCCAGCACTTTGGGAGGCTGAGGTAAGAGGATTACCTGAGCCCGGGGGTTCGAGACCATCCCGGGCAAATTGGTGAGACCTCGTCTCTGTAATAAATCACAAAAACTAACTGGGCGTGGTGGTGTGTGTCTGTCCAGCTACTTGGAAGACTAGGGCGGAAGGATTGCCTAAGCCCAGCAGGTCGAGACTGCAGTGGCCTTGAGTGTGTCACTGCACTCCAGCCTGGGTGACAAAGTGAGACTCCAACTCAAAAAAAAAAAAAAAATGGTTGTTAAACACAATCCCATTTGACATGTTTTATATTTATACCAACTTTGTGAAGTAAGTGCTATTACCTCATTATTATTATAAGTGTTATTCTCATCACCACAAGGAAACAGACGTAAATAACTTCTCCAAGTTCACACAGGCAGTACATGGTAGAACTAGGTTTCAAACTTGTGTTATTTTCATTACACTATAATGTTTCCCTTTTGAGGAAGTTACTTTCTGGTTGAGGAAGTGACTGATTTAACTTTGAAAAAGCAAAGCAAAAAACTTCTTGATCAACAACTAACTTCTAGCCATTTCTGGATCTTGTATGACAATATTATACTGGTTGGTGTTGCTAAGGCAGAGGAAATCATTAATGAAATAGAAGAGAGAAATGTGAGAACTGAGCAGGGAGTGGCTAGGAGATCTAGGGGGTCTTGGTTTTTACTGATATAGGTGGATCACAGAGAAAGGCTCTCTAGGAAAGTGGAGCAATAGGGCAATTCAGAATGAGTCTGAGAAAGGGATTCTCACCTTAGGAGTGATTAGGTGTCAACCACTCTTAGGAAAGAAGTGTAGTTAGTGATAACTGCACTTCTCCTTCAAGACAGAACTCGTCTTGAAGGAGTGAGAAACGTCAAGGCAGACTCCTGCTCTGTTAATTAGTTCAAGATTCTTGTTCTATTCCTTTCCCTGGAACATTTTTTTCTACCTCAGAGAACCGGGTTATGAAATTAATTTCTGTTTGAGTGAGTGACAGCCAGTATTTGGTCTCTTTTTATTGAAGCATCAATTTTAAAAAATATATTTGGTGAAATTGTCATCAGTAGAACTTTTGTACATAAAAACTTTGTGCATATGCTTTTTATGCATATAATATTTTGCTGTATATTATGACTGATGTTCTGATGACAAAAATTGACCCTTTATTACATGCCTGGCATTGATTCTTAGAGCTAAGTATGTAGCATTAAACAAAATAGAAAAAGGTCCTGCTTGCAAGGATTATATTCTAATGAGTAGAAACAGATAAAATGAAATAATTAGATAGAAATAAGCAGACAGGTAAATAGATAAATAACAACCTTTAGGTGAACAAGAATAAAAAGCAGGGTAAGATGATAGAGAATGATAGGGAGCTGAAAGATTGCTCCTTCATATAGGTTATCAGGGAACCTCTGATGAGGTGATATTTAAAGCTAGGATCTGAATGAAGTGAGGAATCCAGTCAGATATCTGGGACAAAAGCATTCTAGGCAGAGAGAACAGCAGGTATAAAATCTCTGAAGTATAAGGATAACTGGTCATGTGTGAGAACCCACAGGAGGCCACTGTGGCTGGAGTGGAGTCAAGTGATGGGACCCAGATACAGGGCCTTACAGTCAGATGACACTTTTGGAATGCATTTTGTTCTGAGTGTGGTGGGAGCCACTAGAGAGTTTAGAGCAGTGACTTGATCTGACTGATGTTTTAAAAGGCTTACTTTAGTTGTTATGGGAGAACAGACTATGGAGGGTGGGGGCAAGTAGGCTGTGGTGGGAGCAGGGAGACCAGTAAGGAAGCTTTTTCAGTAATCAGTAGCCTGGGGGAGGGATGATGGTAGCTTGGGCCTGGGTGGTAGTGTCTGCAAGCCAGAAAGTCATGGATTCTAGACATAGAGATGCTTGACTTATCTGGAGTTAACCTCTCTCTGGGGACATGGGTTTGAGGGTGTCATTGGAAACATGACAGTGATCCCTGGTAAAAATTCTAAAAATAATTGATTGAAGGATGCGAACAACAGTGACCCCCTAGAAGCCAGCCTGTATTCACTGAGAATAAGCTGTGCTTCTCATACCCACTTGCAGGTATATCATGTGTGTTTTATTTAAACTATAAAATAAGTTCAAATTTATTATAGACATACTAGAAAATAGAGATAAGCAGAAACAATGAAAAAAAATCACACCACCCAGAGATAATTACCATGTAGCACTTATGATATAAATCAGAGCATTTCATTTTTGGAAAGGTTCCTAGACTGGTGGATTAGGAATATGCTACAAAGGTAATATGTCTTAAGTGCTAAATTTAGTTATTTAATGTTTTCTCATGTGATCCCAAGACAAAGGACATTTTTACCTGGCTATGGAGCTGATTGAATAATTGCATTTAGAAATTGTAGTGCCAGTGAATGGATCGGTACTTATCTAGAGGAGCTGTTTTTAGTGACATTCTAGAGAGCAGTTCTTGGTTATATTTTGTTTTTGAACATCAATTTAGATAAAGATACAGAAAAGACTTGCCTATCAGATTTATAAATGAATATTTGCAAACTGGACAGTGTAGAGAATATTTAGACAATAGATCAAAACTAAGAAGTTGAAATGAAGAAAATAATAAAAATAATTTAAGCTAAAACTTACATGGCACTAAATATGGACCAGGTTCTGGCCTAAGCACTTCATGTATTAACTCATTTATGCTTGCCATAGCCTGATAAGGTAGGTATTGAAGCATAGGGAAGTCAAGTGACTTATCCAAGGTCATACAGCTAGTAAGTAGTAAAGTTAGGGTTTAAACTTAGGCTCTCTGGCTTCAGAGTCTGTAATCGTTGATCACTGCCAGCATACTGCCTATAGAAGAAATAAGAATTAAGCTCCATATTTACGTTTTGAACATTAAACAATTTTTTTTGAGCAAAAGTATAAACCTACAAACGTAATATAGCTACCAGGTTAGTTCATGCATTCTTGGGCTTTATTATTAGAACTGGATAGACAGGTCATCTTTCAAATCCATCCTCACCCCTTTGCCCCATTGCTACTGTGCTGGTCCAGGCCCTTATCCTGTCTCTTGCCTTGACTGTTAACAATAGCATCCTACTTTATCCCATTAGAATAGTCTTTCAAAAACCACAGTTCTCCCTTGCTTAAATCTCTTCGTCCAATGCACGCTGCACACTTGCTTCCCATACCCACTTGTAGGCATGTCATGGGTGTTTTGGAGAGACTACAGTGGTGTTCTTTTTATTTCTTCTTTTTAAAAATTTGAATGAGTTTGCTGTATTTAAAAGACTTTATATAAAGGCAGGGCATGGTCTCCCCCCTTAGCCATAGTCTGCCAGGTCTCTGTAACTCATTTTCATTATTAGCCTGATCTTTGGCATTTGTGTCGACAAGCTGTGGCACAAAAGCTAAGGAGTAGTGCCCAGATTTGAAAACAATCCCTTTATGTAGTCTGGCCAGTATAGACTACAATAAAACTATTACCTTTATTTATTTACTAAACATTTATAAGATTTCTACCTTGCCCTGTCACTGTTTTCAGTGCCCAGCATGGAAAAATGAAGATAACACAGTCCTTGCTCTCAAAGCTCAGGGCCCAGTAGAGGATGATAAACATATAAATAAGTATCATGGATACAGAGGTAGAAGCATTTACAAAATTTAGGACTGTGCACTTCCACTGGGAGAGGGACAGTTTGAAAGGCTTCAGAGAACAAATGTTGCATTAAAAGATGGCACACCCTCAGAATGGCACAGGGAGGCTTGGAAGGAAGGTGGAAGAGAGATAAGGTAATTCTAAATGTTCCTGAAACAGCCTAACCTCAGCCTCTGCATTTGGTGTGAGATTTCAAGGGCCTCAGATCTACCTCTCACACCTTAGCAGTTAACTCTGCTTTCCCCATGTGCCTCTAAAGTCAGCCATACTGAATTACCTAAAATCCCCTAAGGCAGCATTGTTCTGTTCCTTCCCTCCCTCCGTGTAAACAATCGTTTTTTTTTTGTTTTTGTTTTTGTTTTTGAGTTGGAGTCTCACTGTCACCCAGGCTGGAGTGCAGTGGCTCACCCATGGCCACTGCAGCCTCAACCTGCTGGTCTCAGGCAATCTTTCTGCCTAAGCCTTCCAAGTATCTGGAACCACAGGTGCAGGCTACCACACCGAGCTAATATTTTGATTTATTGTAGAGACAAGGTCTTGGCAAGTTGGGCTCATGCACTCCTCTTGTCTTCGCCTCCCAAAGTGCTAGGATTACAGGCATGAGCCACCATGTCTGGCTAAACAATTATTTTATACTCCTTATGTACTAGGCACTATTCAAGGTCCTGGGGATTCAGCAATTAAAAAAAAAAAAAAACTACACACACACACATGTGCGTGCGTGCACTTCTGACTTGTGAATCTTATATTCTGGTAAAAAATAATCAGACTAACAATTTCACAAATAATCAGGAGGTTAAATGTGCCAAGAAGGAAAATAAGTAGGGTATCTTACCTTAGAGCTGTCTAGAGATGGAGTTGCCTTGGGAGGAAGTAAGTGTTGTCCCTGCCATTAGGAGTGTTTGAACAGGAGCTGAATGACTACTTGCTGGATAACTTCTGCATTGAGTGGAAAGTTAGAGCAGTTGATCTCTAAATGCTTCCCAACCTGAAGAATGCTGCTAGCTGGCTTACTAACTCTGAGTTTGCATTATCTATAATATGTAAATTTGTGATTCTGGGAAAAATAATTAA